AAAAACAACGCCGCCGAAGAATCGAAATGGAGTCACCCGCGAAATCCTCTCCCAAATCTCATCGTGTTCGAGATTTTCTTCCCTCAGTTAAGCCCTCATATTTGTCGCTGATTTTAGTACTTGTATGTGGAATGAACCTGATGAGGAACGAATCCACAAACGATCGCCTGTTAGCGTTGGAAAAGCAGATAAAGATTTTGCCATCAACTAAGAGTTGTGAAGAGACTGATTCGCCATCGAATTATGACAAAACGTCAGAAAAGCAGATCACGGATTCTGTGGTACTTATGGGAAAGACCGCGAAACCTCTTGAAAACAGACCTGACTTTCCCAAAGGTGAACATCATTCCATAGTGATGAATCTTGATTGTTCTAGAACTGCCACTTATATGGTTCATTGATAGCATCCACATGATGTGATGCAATTAAGTTTTTTCAACTTTGGTACCAAGAAATCACCAGTGAGAAAAGATTTTTCGGCAATTTTCCAATTTAATTTGCACTTGGATCTTCTACCCGACGTTAATGTTGATATCTGTTGACTCACATAACAATCCTGCAGTGTAAGTCTAGTGAAAGAGAAGCGTGAGAGACACTAAGACAACTGATTCACGATCAACTGCTGGAACAGTCTCTAAATTTTGGGGCTCCATACCCGTTTTGTTCTGTATAAAATAAGATGAAAAGCCGTAATGGCGCTCGGTTGCCTATTTTTGGCGTTCTAAGTTAAAGGCCCTTTTGTACTTTTTTTGCCAGAAGTGACATAGGTGGTAAGCTTTGCAAGCGGTGTTATTAATGTGATATGTCTATAGCATAAAACATTTAAAGGCCATAACCTCTCTGAGAAGAATGAAGGAATTTGAACCCGCATTTTCATCGTTTCACGTGATTTGTCACTCAAAATGTCAAGCGACTTTGTCCACTGTCGCTCAGACAGTAATAGTTTACTTTAGAGTGATGTTTAATAAGTACATATCTTGATGAAGAGATCCGGCAACAGTCGATTCAAGGCAGTTTATTTTTCGTTTGCAAATTATACAAGGCTGCAAAGAATTTGGATTAAATTACAGAAGTCAACCCAAAATACCATTAAAACTGAAAATATCGCAGCATGGAAAGTACACTGAAAGTGTGGCAGCAACTTAGCAGAGCAAAACTGTAAACATTTTATTCTGCGTTTGGAGCAAAGTTGCTTTTAGTGTTCTGGAGAATTAATCACGTTAAAGCGCTGAAGGATCCCAGTCGCCATTAACAACAATACTGTTTTAGCTGCTTTCATAGTTTTCAAGTCTGATTTAGTGAACATTACCTTACTTAATCTGTTAATAGCCACAAGAGAGGGTTGCCGAGGTACGTGCAGAGAAGGGTGCCGAGAAGAAAAGGGTGTCGGGATACGAATTATCGCGGCTTCATGAACTTCGAAAAGCAAAGTCTTAAGAAGATAAGCTGTAAAATTTGTTAATTTGTTTATTTATTTATTTATTTATTTTTTTTTTTTTTTTACACCCAAATTTGTTCTTGCAGCTGAAAATGAGTTAAAAGAACCGTCAACAATTTTCGGAGTAAGAAATCGCAGACAAGCTTCCAACATCTTTTCCATTACAATTGAAGACGTACGCAACGAGATAACGAAGCAGTTTGGACAACTTATGCCCGTCAAATATTGCAAGTCAAGTGAAAAGGTATGTCCTGCTGGTCTCCCCGGAAATCCTGGTACTAGAGGTGAAAAAGGATCTCGTGGCAGGAGGGGACCAAGGGTACAAGAGGGAGAACTGGAACTCAAGGTGTCATGGGACCTCCCGGTAAACACGGGAAAACTGGAAACACCGGAATGACCGGTCCTACCGGACCGAGAGGAGAAAAAGGAGAAATGGGAGTGCCAGGATCGAAAGGTATGCCGGGACCACCGGGAAAACCGGGAGAATCAATATCTGTCCCACAAGTGATGTTGTCATCTGCTGAACAAACTCGAGATGAAGGAGGATATACGAACTTTTACTGCACTGTTGGTGGAAATCCACGTCCAAGAATCGAATGGAGATTCAAGGGCAGCAAGCTTCAGTCGGGATCTAAATACCGGATCCAAGATGGCGGGGAGCTGAACATTAAACATTTAAACTACAGTGACGCTGGACAGTACACGTGTGCTGCAACAAATATCTTGGCTCACATGAAGCGTCCGGTAATTTGACTGTTCGAGGTGAGAATGTAAACATACAAATCTCTTTACCTTTTATTCATGACTTCAAAAAGAAATCTATGAAATCATGAAATGTGCTTTTTATTTAATAGCACACGCCTAGGGGTTTAAGCAATTTTTAAGCAATTTGACCGCGAGCGCACAACGCGGTGAAGCCGCGAGGAACCGCGTGCCTGGATTAGCCGTATTTTTTATTGCCGCCCCCTATTACATATTTTGACAACCCGATGACAGGTTTTGTGAATCGTATTAACACAGCTGATCAGAGCATAGATCGTAATAAGAAACTTCCAGTCTATCAAAACGAAAGTATCGGATGCTCTGGCGATGCGGTGTTTGCCCGCTGGCGGCGAAGGGCAAAGCCTGTCAAGGGAGGAATCGAGAGAAGTGTAAACTGGATAATTGTAGGCTCTGTTGTTGTCTACTCAAGATCAAACTCGGAGATTTTAAACATTTCCATTCAAAACCTTTTCAAGGTCTCTAAGCG